ATAAACAGCCACCCCCACCCAACAGCTCATAGCAGCCACAGCGCCGAGCCCGGATCCAGTGCAGGAGGAGGAGGAGGAGGAGGAGGAGGAGGAGGAGGGAGGCGATGTGACATGATTTACAATGAGATCATTAACCTTGAGAAGCACGACGGCCTCCGCGACGTAAACACTATCTCTGAGACTTCCAAGAACAACGGCGGTCACTCACTCGGAAAAACACGCAAGCGAAAGATGTGCCTCAAACATACGAGTCAGTCTGTTCATAGGGAGAAGGGAAACAAAAGAGATGTTTTAAAATGAGGCATTATCCCACAATTCAGAATACACAAGCAGCATTAAAATCTAAAAAAAATAAAAAACCGAAGCTGGAGAAACAGCTGATTATAAAACCTTCTATTTATATTTCCTTAGTTTCAAATGTAGGTTCATGCAGCGCTTAACTAACGCATTAAACCACCAATCAGTGTCAGGTTTATGCCCTCATGAGTCATTCCTTATGTTTTACTAAAACTAGTAAAGCTCATTATTATTCCTGGATCCAGATGTCAGATTATTTACCTGCATTCCTGAACAGAAACATGAGTTTTAGTGGCTGAATGTGATGCTGGATCAGTTTCTCAGAGAAGTCCAGTGAGCTGCTCAGGTTTGGGGATAAAAAGGTGGATTCAGTTTAAATTCCTCGTTCCTGTTCAGAACGATGAAACGAGGAGAGCTGAGTGGTGTTAAAGCCCTTCATCATGCTGGATGGTCTACATGCTGTTTATTTTAAACCTGACATTCGTTGCTGCTCTAATCCATCTGTTAAGCGAGTATATTATATATATAACTATGGAACAGCGTTTTCCTCCCACATTTTTTATTTTTCTGTTTACCCAGATTTGAGCGGCTCCTGCTTTGAGAGCTGCATCGAGGAAGAAGAAAGACGAGCATCAGCAGGAGCAGAGTTCAGGGTTGTGGTTCAGCTCAGACGACGTTACGGCTCCGTCTCAGATGTTCAGACCAGACGAAGTTCAGTGAAAATATTTGGGCAGAATTTTGAGAATGTTGATGTTTTCAGAGCGAGGAACTTTTGTGTTTTCACCTTTCAAGGGTTCAACAGCCATGAAAGCGGTCTGAGCCCAGACCAAGCATCATGTGGACTCATTCACAGGAGGCGAGAAGATCTGACGTGCAACCAGGTGATGCTATGTGACCACGCAAGTGTTGAGATACAACTAAAGACCTCACCATGGTGCCGGGACACGTCCACCAGAGGCAGCAGAGTTCACGTCTGGAGAATAAATGAGCAAAAACAAGTGAACTGGACTTGAAGCAGCACAAGGACGGCCTGATGCTCAGCCGCTACACAGCAAACACAAGTCCTACATGAAGGACCAGAGATGTGCCTTATGCAGACTCTCCTGCTCTCTTTTGTGTTTACTTATATTTTGTAGCTTATTTTATGTTTATCTTGTATATTTTTAGCATATTTTACGTCCAGATTGTATATTTCTTAGTATATTTTTCAACTGTGTTTTTCTAAATGAGGATTTATTTGTACGTGCACACGTGTAGCAGAGCTGACAATCACCTGACTTTGACTTCCTCCATACGGCATCTTGTCAGTAGTTTCTGAGACACTTCAGTCTGAACCAGAGCACCAGAGGCGATACGATCCACATCAAACAGGCCAGAAGTCACACGTTTATCACTCTGTTTATTAATCCATGATGGTAAATACTTTCTATTATAAATATTTAGTATGTCAGTGATGCTTCATGAGACACCGTCGTCGTACAGATTAGAGTTAAAGCTTCACTTCTGGCGAGTAAAACATCTACAGTCACACACACACGAAACAAAAGAAGAACCATTCATAACCTGGCACGAAGGCTCACGGCCGACAGAAAGCCCTTCAAAGTGCACGACCACAGCACAACGGACAAATATATTCCCCCGATATATTTGGCAACGCGTCGCTCTTCTTCTGTGTAAAGAGTGTAGTTATCGTTCGTCCTGACGTTCCTCCTCCTGTCAGTTTGTTCTTTAACCACGTCGGTTACAAAATGGGTTCACGTGACAGAAGACGTTCTGGAAAACGTGTAAGTTGCTGAACAGCAAAGCAGCGATTTTTAAATTCAGATTCATCAAACGGCTGCTTTTAAGACACTCAAAGGATCATTGATTGAACAATTAGCTTCATTTCAACATTAAATCCTCGAAATAAAAAGGTCCACATAAGAAAACTTCAAGTACAAAAGTGTTATTCATGTTTTAAAATAATTTTTGGATATAATTCGAAGGCTGAGATTTACACTTTCCTGTTCAGAACATCACACGGCAACAGCATGACAATAAAACTGCAGTTTCTCATTAAGAAAAGTCCACCTAGGAATAAAAATACCGTCTCTTCATCTAAAAGCTTCATGAGAACAACCGCAGCGTCGCTAAACGTAACCACCGAAGTGATGATTCAAGTGAAAAGAAAAAGAGAAATACTTAAAGCACTAAACGTACATTTTGATATGAGCTCCCTGATCTTGACCCGTCGGGCTGAAGTCGGGGAGCCTGAACACATTCTTAGCGTTTGCATGCATAGAAACCACGAGAGCTCCTCTGGAGTCAGGCTGATAAATAAAACCGAGGCAGGTTTAGCACAAGTTCTGTTTCTTCCAAACATCCTCCGAATCCCCGTCTTCTGATTCCTAACAGCTGAAAAGGCAACACGTAGAAAAGAAGGTGGATGGAGCTGTCATTTAGCAGATTAAGGTAAAGGCTCGTCCTTAAATGGATGCTTGATGCTCGGGTTGGGCAGGTCACATTTTAAATAAACTTTACGCTTCAGAAGCCACACGACGGGATCTGATGTCAGGCTACTGATGCACAGACGAGCTCCCTGTTCGTAGTCACGTCTTCATTACTTCCTTTGTTCATCAGACTGTTGGGAAGAACGCTGATTATCTGTATTATTTTTGTCACTTCTTTAACCCTCCGAACCCCAGAACCTTTAAAAACTTTGCTTTCCAGACGTCCCTGAACTGCTCGTCTGTGTGTTGAGTCAGAAGCACTGATAATAATATCTGTAGTATGTAGTGTTTACAGCTGAGCTCATGTTTTACAGGTTTTAAAAAAATAAATCATCCAAGAAGTGTCATTATTTCTTTTTTTCATTCTTTTTTTATAGAATTATATCGTC